CACCCATGTATTCAAACTGTATGAAGTCGCAAGGTTATAAAATATTAATGTAAAATCAAACGAACTTTTGACGATCAAAAGCGGCATTTTAGCTTCATATACATTCATTCCAGGGTGTGTAGAGGGAGCACGTTCATATTTCGTCTCCATTGGGCATTCGAAGTTCCTTTTCATGAGCGAGTACAAACAAATAGTCACACTACAGATATTGTTTGAGAAAAGCTCACCTGGTTTCATGGTTTGCTCATTTCCTAAGCGCCTGCTATTGGATATAGCAGGCCTGCGAGTTGATTGTTTGCAATATCAAATTTTATTCAGAAGCAGTATTCACACTAATTCATTTAGGATGTTGTATCAGTCTTTGGCTTCACCTAACATACTCATTAAATTAATAAAGATAACTAGAAATCAGCTGTTATCCTTGGTCGAAACTCAACGATTCACTTGTAATTTGCCACGCAGTTAGTGTTTAAAAGTCCGCACGAAAAATCACGAATGGTGATGAATTTTGAGAATCCCTTCTAAGATATGCAGAATTAAGAAAGACTTAATAAATTTCCAAACGACCTAAAAGCAGACATGATGGTACATTAACCTTACTTCCTTGAAATCACTGTCTCTATTCCTAATTCACTTAGGTTAAACATAATCAAAAGTTTTATGACAAAATCTTATAAATAATTTCTCAGTTTTGATTGCAACTAACAGTGCAAATCAGAATAGCTTGACGGAGGTGACAGATTAGGGCTTAGGGCTATTTAAAAAAATAACAAAATTGTCTAACTTGCTTCTTTCTCTTTATCCAGTTTCCATTTATGATAAGCCTTGGTCTCAGAATTGAGCTGACGTATTGAACGAACCATGCTGAGTTTGCAGGCCTGAATTTCTTGTTGCAGCCTAAGACATTCCGCTTCGCGAGCCTCCTTTGCACGTTTCAAGCGCGATAACTCTGAAAGTTGTCGTCGGGCCTCGGACAATTCACGTTCTTTCTCAGCCAACTTTGACTTAGTTTTAACACTAACAATTTCGAGTCAGACGATCATGTAAGGAATAATAAAAGTGAATAAGATTTTTTATTTATATATAATTTATAAAAATATATATTATAGTCAACTATAGGTAATCTGAGAGCTATAAGGAAATGTCGTGATGTTACGCTCTCTAGTACGTTAGCAATGTCATGCAAGACTAATGAGAAAAAAGCTGAGGAATTTGAGATTGACGAAATCAAAAAAGAAATAGCATAAAATCAATCAACTTGAGCAGATTGTAGATAATATATATTTAATATGTATAATGTACAAACGGGAATAATATCTTTAAATACATGGCGCGACCATAGGCTTGGGTACAATTTCGTGTAGTCGCCACAGTATTCGTGATAAGTTCAAGCATCATACATTTGACGTGGTCCATTCCAAGACATTCCGTTAGCATAGCTAGTAAGCACAAGGAGAAATAAGCACGTACTACAAAATTTACTTGTCAATGGAAATTTACCATGTTAACAATATGATACTGGCAATTATCACGACTGATAAACAATGACAAATGACATGAAATCAGCTAATTAAAGTAAAATCTACTTGACCGCTTTGGAGAGTTCAGCTGCAAGGGAAAGTTTCTCTTTTTCTAAAGCATTTATCCTTTCCTTGAGATCTACGACCTGAGAATCATATTTAGTCAGTAGTGAAATGTATGCTTCTTCACCCTCTTGTCCTGCTTGCTCCAGACTAGCCAATAAAGCCGTTTTGTCTCGAAGATCAGCATTCAGTTGTTCGACTTGCCGTTTTGCAGCCAAGCGGCGGTCCCGAACACTATGACCATCTACAAATTTCATTTATAAGCAACTATTTAGGACACAAATAACTAATAAATAAAGCTAAAAATTAAAAACAGACGAAGGAAATCAAATAAAACTAGAGAAATTATGAACCTCACCACTATTAATATCAGGAACCTCATGCTCGAAAGAAGAATCACTAGCTATCGGGAGAGCATAG